CGCCAGCACACGTGCGGCCGGGCCGGCCAGGGCGACCTGCGTAGCGTGAGGAAGAGCACATCTCTGCTCACCTCGTTCTGAGAGATGAGAGAATTAGAATGACGCCTCTCTTAGACTGCAAACAATTAGGGGTGGAAATTTTTACTTAACCGCTGAGGAATTGGGTTTAAATCATGGTACTTAGTTTAAAGCATTTTTAAACTTGTTTAAAAAAGTCCTTGACCAGTTTTCAGCTTTAATATTTCAAAGACACAGTTCTGTGTGTTCTTCAGTCATCTGAGGAAGTGTTTCATGCCTTTTTTTCCTAAGTTGAAGAGGATACTGAATGATGGGGGAAAAAATAGACACTTTTTTCTTGGTAGGCCACCATTTATTAAACCTGAATAAGCACTTCCTAGCGCTAAGTGCTGATAGCAGTGTTATAAAATCGGTCCTTTGAAAGGGCTGGCACATAAAGTGATACCTGCACGAGCAAAATTTCCACCTAAATTAAAGAAATACAAATAATAGAAAATCCAGTTAGGACAAAAAAATGGACACATGGCCTCGACACTCCTGGAAATAACACGTGAAATACTAGGTGAAAAATCTGACAGAGAAGAATTTTGTCCAAAAGTAGAAAAAACTGGAAAAGAGTAACAAAAGTAAATTTCTCATTCAGGAAACATTAAATGTGTGTTATGTCCTTTCATACCCAGGAAAGCCTTTAATTACTGGTTAATCTTACAGATATGATATCCTGGTAACTTGAGCAAGAACAGCCATAGCCTACAGAGGTGCATAGCAGTGTATGGAACAGGGTAATATGGAGCCCAACTCGAGGCATGGTAGTCAAGGCTTCAGTACTGTCCTTAAGGAACATTTTGTAAAGAAAATACAAGTATTTAATTCAATATTGATGGCAAATACTTAGTAATTTTTTGGTATTTGAATGAGCAGTAAAAAAATTCTGTTTCAAATGATCAGTGATAAACTGTGTAGTTAAATATGCGACTTGGCTAAGACTTGTTCTGAAAATAAGGATCCGTTTTAAATTAATTTTCTCTTTTCTCTCATCATTCATTCTTCTCATCATTCCTCTGAAGACCTGTTATTTGCGGAGCCTCGTGGCAGCGGGATTACATGCTAACAAAATGCCCTAGAAGTGGGGATGCTGCGCGGTGTGGCAGTAGCGTGTTGCCCGTGTCGGGGTTGTTGCTAGCGTAGATGTGCAGAGCTTTCCGTGGCCGCTGGCTCCTCACTAAAGGCTGCCGTCCCCTCTCGCGCAGAGCCCGTCGCAGCAGAGCAGCGTGCTAGACAACGGGCAGGAGGAGGTGGCGGCCGGCAGCCCGTGGAACCCCTACCCGCTGGGGCGGCGCGACGTGCCCCCGGACACCGGCACCAAGAAGGTAAGCGGCCACGTGGGCCGGCTGCCGGCGCGGCCGCGCTGCCTTCCCTTCCAGCACCGGGGACGGAGGGGAGCAGGCTGCTGCGGCCCGGATTGGGAGAAGGTGCTTTCAGTTCTGAGTTTAACGCAGCAGTCGCTGTGGTTTGCAGACCGGCTTGTCATGTCTCATACCCGTTCTTGTGTTCGTGTGCGCAGATGCCAGTTGTCTGTCACACGCAGGATGGGCACAAGGGCCTCAGCAGCTGTGCTCTCACCCATGCTGGAGAGCTGTCAGCTTCCTTCTAGCCTGAAAATCCTTCATTTAATGTCTTCGTTTTGCTTTAATGGTGTAATAACCTAATGGCAAAAATAAATGTGTTCAAATGGAGAGCAGCTCAATGTGTGGACGGCCACAGACGTGTTGTCAGACACATCCTAGGCAGCACATCCTTGCTGATCCACTCTCTATCAAGTTGGAGAAGCATTTTCTCCAATAAGAGGTCAACAGGTCTACTTTCTAGTACCTCGTGGCAGAATACGAAATTACAGTTCTTGCTGCTGGCCTGTTCCTGTCCAGACCCTGCCTGGCTGCTCTCATCTGGCCCCTGGCTTGGCTATGAGAAACCAGCCAGTTTCATGTGTTCTAGTCCCAAAACTGAAGGGTGTTAACAAGCTAAACTGCATTTGCACTCAACTTAAGAGGGTGGAGCTGCTCACATAGCAGTGGTAATTACATTGCTTGTTGATCTGCATGGAGACTGGTCTTGCTTATTCCTGCAGTAAAGTCATAAAAGTGAGTAAACAGGTGGGAAAATCATAATGTGCATAGGGAGTGACTGGAGTAGCTCGAATGGTCCCCAGTACTCATGAAGCACATTTCCTACTGACTGCTGTTCTTTTATTGAAGGTGGTTTTAATAACAGCAGCCCTTGCCTTTACCAAAAAAAAAATAGTGAAAAGAGATAGTTCACACATGTGTAAGAGAATTGTTGGAGGCAGGAGTCATTGCACCTGGAGCAGCACAGAGGCTTCTCCGGAGGCAAAGGACAGTGAAGAGGAGGGAGAGCAGCCTTGTGTCATTGGATGGGGTTGGCTTTGAGAGGAAGGTTACTCAAAGACTTTCTTTATCCTCTGATGCACAAGAAACCATCAGGAAATTCAGTTTCATTCTGAGCATTTCTGGCTGCTCAGATGTCGTAGGTACTGACATGGCATAACCATACTGAATCTGCTTACCTCACTGGAGCAATCTGTTGTTCCATTTGTTGTCAGCTGCTTTAATTACATGATAAATATTAGACACTGAGCTAAAAATAATTAACTTTTGTAGTGGATGTAAATAATGTACAGAATGCAAATGAAATTAGGGGAACAGTCTGCATAGAAAAGATGATTTTTTTTTTGCAGAATAGGTAAATCCTGTTTCTAAGAAAAGGATTTGTTCTCAGCTTATCCACATCCAGCAAGAGCCACAGTGTGAATACACAAGAAGTGTGATATGATCTCCTCAAAGAAAGCCTATTAGCAGGAGTGATAAAATGAATTGTGAGCGTTACTTACCTGCCATTCTCAGCAGGGGGTTTGCAGGGTGCTATTATGACAGTGCTAATCTCTTTTCCATTGAAAGTAACATCAAGTGTTGGTTTTCCGCCGTTTGGAGATGAAAATACAGTGAGTATTTGAAGTCAGACTCAGGAAATCTTCTGTAGAAATGAAGTCCAACAAATGCTATAAACGTAAACTGATGTATGCATTGTGGTTTCCACTGACATACTTGTGCTAGCTTTAATGGGCAGGTGCTGGATAGGCAGAGTCAGCACATGGCAGAGCTTCACTTGGGAATCGCCGAGGAAGAGTCCGGCCTTCCTCATCCCAGGGACGAGCACGGCAGCAGGCTCTGCAGACCATGTCTAGGGCGAGATGAAGGGGTGCCTAAAGGTCCAGAAACTGCTGTACATAGAGCCGTGCCTGTTTGGGTCTGGTACGCAGGGTGGGAAGGCTGCCCGGTAATTGCAACGTAACTACATGGTGTAGGAATGGTTGGAGCTGTCCTGTTGACTCTTGAGAATACAGATTTGATGGCAACGTAAATATGAGTGTGCTCTGTGTGTGCGTGGGCCGCGGGGCCCCGGGGCGACGCTCCGTGTGCGTGGGCCCCAGGGACAGCCGTTGCGTGGCCGCCCCGTGACCACTGTGGCCTGTGCAGCCCTGGGCCAGACCCGTTCCAGGCGCTGCCGGGGGCTCCGGGCAGGAGCCCGGGTGCTGCGGCACAGCTGGAGCAGCCCCCACCTGCAAAGAGGGGCCTTCAGCTCCCCATTTCTCTTTCCTTCTGAGCTGTTTTTTTGTGAGAGGCTGGAGGCTCTTTGTGCTTCGTTTCCCGAACCCATTTTTCAGTAAAGAATCCCAGTCTTTTTGCATTTAAATTGACTCTTTCCTCTGCAGCATGCAGTGCTCCTGCCATGGGCCCCTCCGGGCACGGGTAGTGGTTGTATCTGGGACAGGTAGTGCAGTTGGAGAGGTTCTGCCTTTTCCAGACCTGCTATGATGAGTGCTTGACACAACATAAAGTACAGACCCATGCTGCACGCTGGTACCTGCTTGGCTCGGAGCTCAGCAGTGCAGGGTGACCTGGTTCAGTAACGGCTGAGGACGTGGCTCCGTGCCCCCAGGGAGCTGGGAATAGGTTAAAGTTCTGTCTTGGGCTTTTTCCTTCTGATCCCAGGTGAGCAGAGGATCTTTCTGAACTCTAAAGTGGAATATTAATAGTACAAACTTCACAGGACAAATTTATTGTCTTGAAAAGCACTTTCACATCCACAGATGAGTTGTTATCTAAAGAGTGATTGAGAATTTGGACATAAGAAATAGAGATTCCTCAGTCATTACCCACTTTGAGAATATCAGAGGAGAAGTTGTATCTGAATGTGTCTGAGCTGGTCCTGTTGTCCAAGTGGAGTGAGCAAAAAGGACGGGGCAGATGAGCTTTCCTAGCCGTCGCTGTGAGCATTGCTGGGGTTTATGTTCAGTGGCACAAGTAGCTCCAGCTGCCTCTGTGCAAGTGCTGTGTTCTGCAGAAAAACCTCGACAGTCCATTAACGTGGGTTTTTCCTGTGGCAACACGCAGTTAATTCTAGCAGCGCGTTCGATTCTGTAACTTCTGCGGCCAAGTGTTTGGCCAGCAGGTAAGAAACATTTTGATCCTTTGGTAATGTTACGTTGTCCGGAAAAGGCCGCCGCAGTTGGTGACGCTTCGCTGGGACCCGGAGCGTGCAGCAGTGCTGGGTTAGGGGAACACGGCCGGTCCTCATGGGCCCACGGGCTGGAGGGGGCTTAGGACGAAGCCAGGGAGACGGGTGGGCAGCAAGTGTTTCCTAGGGGCAGGAATATCTCATCGCAGAGCAGACTGAATTTGGGTCTTTTTTAGTGCCAAGTTGTGTGCTGTTATGTATAAGCAACAGCAGCTCAGTCCTGTAAATAAAAAACCATAGAATACCCTTGCCTGCATTTTTTTTGCAGTGATTTGCCTCAAATGTTTATGTAGTGTCTGTGGCTGGACTGAGACTATGCAGCTTCACCCTGTCAAGAAGAGGGTAAAACCTGAGTATTGGGTGCTGTTGTGGGCTTCCCAGTACAGGAAGGACATTGAGAGGGTCCAATGTATCTATTGTATGAGGAAAGGCTGAGCGAGCTGGGCCTGTTCAGTCTGGAGAAGAGAAGGCTGAGAGGGGATCTATCAACATGTTCAAGTACCTGAGGGGAGAATGTAGGGAGGGCAGGGCCAGGCTCTTCTCCGTGGTGGCCAGTGACAGGACAAGGGGTAACAGGTACAAGCTGAAACACAGGCAGTTCCATCTCCATGCGAGGAAGAACTTCTTTGGTGTGAGGGTGGCAGAGCCCTGGCACAGGCTGCCCAGAGAGGCTGGGGGGGGGCCCGCCCTGGAGATCTCCAACCCGCCTGGATGGACCCTGTGCTCGTCCCTGCTGGAGCAGGGGCTGGACTGGGTGATCCCTAGAGGTCCCTGCCAGCCCCAGCCCTTCTGGGATTCTGTGTAAAACAGAAAGCAAATCTTGCCTGTTTTTGAAAAGACTGACTTATCAGTCATCCATTTTCTTCTGAAAATATGACCCCCACCAATGTAAATTTGATATTTTACTTGAAAATATATGAAAATATATGAAAATATATAACCATATTTTCATATGATGTATTTTCATATTATATATGAAAATTCAAATTGCAAGAAATTAGCATAGAAATTTGGTAATGTGACTATTTGCATATTATGAAATGTAAGATTTGATAAAAGACACATTTTTCTAGAACAGGCAGTGATACCGAATTTAATCAACTCTGTGTGCAAGGCACAGTGGTGGTCAATATTTATATTTGTGACACTTGTCTTATTCCAGACCATTCTCAGAAAAAAATATTCCAATACTGAACAATTAACCTTCAGAGTGTGCTGTGATGAGCAGTCAGCTGTATTTTATTACATGTTTTCAGTTCATGGGTTTTTGAGCAGAGGAGTGAAATTAGGAATATTTTCCATTTGTAAGAAGTGTGGTGTGGTAATCTTCCTTAAACCTCCTAGGATCACTGGATGCAATGGACAGATCCTTGCAGCTTTTAATCGCAGTTGTTTCCAATTGTGATCAAAAGACAAACCTCTGATAAGGTTTAAGAGGTTTGCTTTTGCTTGACTCTATAAGTTGCAATAATTGCTTCGTTTCAGCTTCCTGAGTTTGTGGCCTAACGGGTTCCGTTACCCACAGGCAGGTAGCCATATCCAGACTCTAATGGGCTCCCAAAGCCTCCAGCACCGGAGCCGCGAGCAGCAGTACGAAGGGAACATGAACAAGGTGACGATCCAGCAGTTCCAGCCGCCGCTGCCCATCCAGATCCCGTCCTCGCAGGGCTCGCGCGCGCCGCCGCCGGGGCGCTGCCTCATCCAGACCAAGGGGCAGAGGAGCACGGACGCCTACCAGGAGCAGGTGAGACCGCGGCGCCGCAGGGCGCTCCCGCAGAAACCAACGCTCTCCCCTTCCTTGCTGCAGAGGGGGCCATGGCAAGGGGCAGGTACTCGGCTGTGGGGGACGTAGGCTGCCTTGGTAACAGGTCTGCTCCCCTTCCCCAGCACCAGGGACTCGTTCCACCTTTTCTTGGATTGAGCAGGCCGTTCGGTTCGGCACTGAAGTTTCTGGGCAGAGCTGGCGTCCCCTGGTCCCAGTGAATTAACCAGCAATCCCTGCGGATTCCCTAGGAGCTCTCTGGGGGCTGGCACGGCCGCGCATGGGCAGGTGCTGAGGTGTGTGGGCTGCTAGGAAGGGCCTCCAGCAGCTGCAGTGCCCCATGACCAGGAGAGCAGGCGCTCATGAGCTCCTTCGTTAAGCAGTCCCTTCCCCAGGGTGTTTGGCCTGCAGATTTTCAGTAACGGAGTCACCTGGCTGGAGGACGAGGGTTCAGAATCATCAGCAAACCCTTCTCCTGTGGGAAGTGTTGCACAACCGATATGAGTAGCTGTATTAAGTGCCTGAGTACAGAACTAAGCTGCAGGAGCAATGTCTGGTGTGGCTCACGGTGCTTGCTCAGAGCGGCTCAGTAAGAGGCATTAAGCTGCACTGAAGTCATTTCAATTTTCTGTTCAATTACCCAGTACCATTTACGGTCACCCTGGCTAAAGGGCAGTCGTCAGCACTCGGTGCTGCAGAAGGGATTGGTGCTCAGTGCTAACAGCTTCTAGGGCTGCGGCCCTGCTGCAGATCCCTGCGCTGGAGCTTGCTCGTTCTTGGGCCTCTCATGAGTGTGGCACCGCGGATGCTGCGGCTGTGACACGTGCTCAGGAGGGCATGGACTGGGAGCTTCCACTGCAGAGCGCCGCGTCGCCTCCCGGCTGCACTGAGGAGGTCTGCTGTCCTCCCACAGTGTCTTTGATTGCAAAGCTGTGGAAGTTTTTCTTTAGTTTCTCAGACCGTGCCATATGTATTCTTGTACACAGTTCTTGAATTGGGACTAAAGTTACTTGGTCTACTTATCCCCTCAGTTTTTGTTTTATAGTTTCAAAGAATTGTGTTTGTAAGGGAGCTGGGAAACTCTCTAGCCAAACAACCTGCCTCGGATCAGGGCTAACTTCAAAGTTAGAGCGGGTTGCTCAGGGCTGTGTCCAGCTGACATCTGCAAATGTCCAAGGCTGGAGACCCTACAGGCTCTTTGGGCCTGTTCCCGTGTCTGATCTCCACCATTTCCTTACGTCCAGTTGGAGTGTGTCTGCTTCAGCACGACAAACCGTGGACACAGACTGAAACACAGGAAATTCCACTGGGACGTAAGTGAGAGGTGCTTGGACACTGGACCGGGTGGCCCTGAGAGGCTGTGGAGGCTCCGTCCTGGGAAGCGCTCGGACACGGTCCTTGTGGGAGGGCCAGCTCATCTGGAATAGCTGGAAAGATGCTATCGTGTATGGAATTGCCTTTAATCTTGTCACCGACTTACCTTTCTCTATTTTCCATTTTAACTTAGTTCTGTGTGAGAATAGAGAAGAATCCTGGCCTCGGTTTTAGTATCAGTGGTGGAATCAGTGGACAAGGAAATCCGTTCAAACCTTCTGACAAGGTAAGTTCCGAATTTTTCCCTAAATGGTCTTTTTTGACAATGCCACATAGTGGTGATGGAGGATATAATGAATGACATTTTTAACCACTTCTGTTGTGATAATAGAAAGAACTTGTTCCCATGCTCGGCTCTTTTTCTTAAAGGAGTGGTTGCATCCTTATTAAGTCCCCCAGGGCAGGCGGCTCCGCCGGCCGTGGCAGCTCCCACGTTCCTGGGGGTCTCCCGCAGGCCCTGGCACTACGGCCTCCCCGCAGCGCTGAGGCCCAGGCCCAGTAAATACCTTACAAACAAGAGCAGGAAGGCAGCTTTGCAGAACTTAGGCTTTTTTCTAGGGGAAGTAACAAAGGGAATTGCATAGATCCTGGCAGGATTACTGTAAATGGATAATGCTTGCCCCATTTTCATTTGCCTCCTGATAACCGTGTTTCTCTTGCCTCGTTTCTAGTTGCACTGTTGTTTTGTGGGGTGCCCTCTTAGTTCAAATGAACCACAATTGTATTTTTATCAGGAGACACCTAGCTAAGGTCCTGGAGAGCTACCACAAACTGGTACTGCTGTTTGACTGCTTATGGATTTAAAAAATCGAGTGTTTAGAGCATTACCAGATAGAAAGCCTCCAGACCAATAAGTAGGGAGACACCTGTATTTTGGGAAGTGGTTCTTGGTGATAGCATCCTAACCTCTGTTACTTCTGACTTATAGGGTATCTTTGTTACTAGGGTTCAGCCTGACGGACCAGCGTCCAGCCTGCTGCAGCCTGGCGATAAGATTCTCAAGGTAGGGATCAGTTAGCTGCTTTTTCACTGAATAGACTCATAGAGCAGATTTTTGCACCTTGCAAGTAGAGTGATACTGTTGTCAGTTCAAGCTAACTGCTCTTTCTATTATTATGCTGCTTGATTTTGGTACTGATTTAAAACCGTGTTTCAGATGTGGTACTTCTGAAAGCTCCGAAGGGGGGAATAAAGCTGTTGGAAAACCAAAGGGGAGCGTGTGGGGAAGGGGCACGGGGCTGTGCTGGCAGATACAGCAGCTGGAGGCTGGGTTAGACCCGTGAACTTGCTAAGAACAGGGCACGCAGTCCAAGCAGGAGCCCGCCTATCCCAGGCGTGGCCAGGTGACACAGCCCTAAATGAAAGTGTCTTTTGTATCATCTCCATCTTTTTGGCACCAACAGCACAAGAAAAAACAGGGAGAATAGAGTTTTCCAAACAGTTTCACAGGCCTAAGTGCATGACAAGGCAAGACGTGTTTCTAATTTTCACCTTTGCAGCTGAGGTGGCACCAGGGTAAGGAACTGTGTTCACAGAGAAACGTGACTTAATTATTTTTGCCTCTCCTTCATTGCCTGTTTTTGTATGCTCTCACGTGAAAATATATCCCTTCTACTGGAGAACGGAAGCACTCAACTCACTGCAAAATCTCAGCTTTTGTTTTCTTTTACATTTCTGAAGCAAATATTTATTGTAGTCAAATGACATTTTAAATAGAAGTCGTGGGTTCTGATCCAGAGAGAAGACAGAGAAGCTGCTCCTGAACAGGAGGAATTCAGAAATTCCCCCTCCACAGCACGTCCCGGCTGTCCGGACAAGGGAGGTGCTCAGCCCCCTGCGAGGGCCTTTACAAGAGCAGACTCCCTAGAGGCGTCCAGGGGGCTCAGAGCAGTGTTTAAAGCCCCGCAGGCTGCTCCGGGGCTGCGGGATAACCTACCCAGGCCAACCAAGGAGATGAGCCCAGCCAGGGCCCTAGCAAATGCCTGCAGCAGCTCCTGCTCCCTCTGCTCCTGTCTGTGCTCCTGCCTCTCCCAGGCCTCAGTGGTTTTAGTCTCTCTCCCACCAGCAAATACCCTGTTGGGCTCCGTTATTCTGGGCCCTCATTTCTTCTACTTTGGTGGCACAAAGATGTTTCTCTGTGAAATTATTTTATCCTCTCTGAGATCTACAATAGGCAGCTACTGTTCAGGTGCTGACCTGTTGCAAACACAGTGAAACAGAGAAAATAGCCAGGCTAACTGAAGTACAAAGGTGGCTAGAGATGATTAAAGTGTGATATTGAAAACTGGGTTTAGTAACAGAAACAAAAGTAGAAAATGGCCAAATATGCTATAAAAACAAAAAATATGATCAGCATGTTGTCTGCAGTGACAGGCAATGGACATAAACTGCCAGGATATTCCTAATGGGATGAATTGGTTTATATGGTTCCGATAGGCAGAGACCGCTGTGCGGCTGTTGTGTGTGGCCGCTTTTTAAATCCTGAACAAGTAGATAAATGGGGATGGAAAGGGATACAATCTGCAGAACAGGATGCAAAACATTTGCACAACGAGGCATGGTTTCCATGTCAGATTATTTTGACTTTTTCTATTTGCCTCTTTTTCAGTCCTTCTTTTGCTCAGTATGAACCATGGATAAAATGGAGTGCAGGGAAGCCAGCAGGTGTTCACCCAGTATAGAACACAGTTAATTCCGGGTTTACCTGCGGGTTTTGGGGCTGCGTTGCTCTCCAGTGCCACCCCTGCTGCTGCTGGGGGCATGGGGAGGGCTCCCAGCCAGGCAGGGAGCAGCGTCTGCCTTGGTGCAGAGCAAAGAGCCTCCGTGGGCTCATCAGGGAGGGGAAAGGTGCCCTGCCTTCAGTATGTGCGAATCAGTAAATGCAGTAAATCCATTGCTTTGCTTCAAACCCTGCTTGACCCGGCTGGGGAGTTCAGAAGTAACTGAGCAGCTGAAAGGTGCCCGGTGGCTTGCGACCGCGTGGGGCTGCTCCTCTGTCACCGAGATGTCTCGGTCTCGGGCCTGCCTTCCGGGTTAGTCCCAGTTCATCGTTTCCGTTGACTGGGAGTGTGAAGGATGTTCTCCTCCGTTGGGAGAACATTCTTCATGGAAAAGCCTCCCCGCGTCCCGCTGCTGGGAGGGCTACGGTGGCTTCATCAGCTCCGGCTTTCCGATCGCAGCAGACATCAGATCTGGCAGCATCTGCAGCCTTTTCCATGAGTTTCATTGCTCGATTGCAACCATTAGTGTAGACAGAAATTGGTTGATTTTTATCAGAAATAGACTTCATACTATACCATCTGCTAAAAGGTTATTAAAATGGGCTTACACCAGGGATGCTAAATGGTCCTTCATTTGCCTTGCAGTGCAAAATGCCTTAATCAAAATACCATACAAAGTAATTTAAAGGAATAGAATCTATGACTTCAGAATTTCCCAAAATTGAAATGAGTTTAATATATGTAGCCTTCTGATAGGAAATTTTAGTTATGCAAATTTGTAATGAGTCAGAAAACGAGGAAGAAAATAATGCACTGTTTACCTTGCAAATTAATGCAAAGCAATTCAGGCAACCCACTTAGATGCTCCTAAATTTGTGCTACTTAGTAACAGTGTTTTCAGAATCACATTTATTTTCTGACTTAAACACCTCTTCAGCAGGTTACAGTATGGAACAAAAACGGCCTTAACAATGTATCACTCATTTTCTTTCATACTATGTTTGCCCTTGATGAGCTTTACATTAAGAGGCCCCTTTATAGAGAGCGCAGGGCCGAAAGGCAGTGACGCCGCGAGGGCAGCGCGCAGAGCCCCTGCCCCTGCCCTGGTGCTGCTGAGCAGCTCGGCCCCACGAGACGGTTGTTCCCTGGGGTCGGGAACCTCCTCGTGGGCAGAGCGGGTCTGGGCTCGGCCGGCAGGAGGCGACGCTCCGGCAGGGACGTTCCTGTGTGCCGGGGTGGAGGAAAGAGGGAAAGGACAATCCGGAGCAGGGACGTTGCAGCAGCTTAGCCAGGAGCTAAACAACCAAACCAAAGCCTTCAATCCTGGGTGGCAGCCATGAGACAGACCCGTGGTGAGTCTTTTGGGTGGTTATTCTTGGTCAGGACTTTTCTGTCCAAAATAAGCTTAAAAGCAACAAAAAGATGTCCGAAATGCATTGTAATTGCAGATAACAGTGAATATGTGCAGAGGGAAAACGATCAGCTGATGCTGTTTCAGAAACACCGCTCTGCTCTGTAGACACGTTACCCAGAAACCGGCCGGCTGTTCATGGCCCCGGGTTGGGGACTGTGGCCTGTGCTGGCCCGCAGGAAACATGGGGGGCTTCAGGTTGACGAACGCCGGGAGCTCCCCGCGCCCGGGCTCTCCCCGCCGGGCCCAGCGTGGCAGGCGGTGCCATTGCGGGAGCCCCTGAAGTGGGGATTGCTCCTCCTCTTCTCTCTGGATCACAGCAGACCTCAGAGCGGCCTCCTGGTGCTGGCACATGGATGAAACCTTCCCGTGCCTGCACTTCGTGGTCCCGTTTCTCCGAGCACAAGCGCTTGGCCGGCCGGGGGCCGCGGGACAGGGCAGCGCCTCGGCGCGACGCGGGCGCTCCCCACGGCGGCTCCCGGGCTCTGGTGTCCCTGGTGTCCCTCGGTGTCCCCGCAGCCCCCGCTCTGCGTCCTGCCTCCGGATCCGCTCTGGCCCTCACGATTCCCCAACCTCCCTCTGCGTATGTCACCTACTGCTGTCCCCACATGAAGGTACTAATTAGAGTCTCCGCTGATTGTTCTTCTTTGTTTGTGTTTCAGGCAAACGGGCACAGTTTTGTACATCTGGAACATGAGAAAGCTGTACTGCTACTGAAGAGTTTCCAGAATACAGTAGACCTAGTTATTCAGCGTGAGCTTACTGTCTAAATATTTTTTTATAAATAGTAAATACGTCTAGGCCAGATCTAATGCTCAAACAGATTTATACATAGGAAACAAATTTTTGCCAATTGCTGGACCAATGGCAAACAGTAGTGCCAAATGTATAATACTCTATGTTAGTACTGATCATCTTGAAAAAAAAATATTAACTATATAAATATATTGTTCATGTGGCTATGTATTAGTTTTAATTGTCAGCCTCTGGCTGTGCATTGGTGCGTTTTTTTAATCAAGTTACTTCTTAAAGTCAATTTCATATAATTTCGAAACACAGAAGCACATACAAATTCTTTAGGAATTCTGCTGTCCATCAGAAACACTGCCTCAAAGTTGTATATGCCTTTATAAAGATAAAATATATTAAGCTGTAATTCCCATGAAATATTTCTATCATGTCACATACAAAAATATAGAGAAAAATATTTTCATAAACACCTCAAAGAAAGTATATATTAAATTAAATTTAATGATGTTAATTTATTTTCAATGCAAAGATATTATATGCCTTATGAAAATAACTGTACATATGCAGTGTGTATAGCTGGTTCCATACTAATTAGTTAAAATGTCACTATACAGGGTGAGATACTTAATAAATTAAACTGTCAACTCTGGGACCTAAATGTAAACAACCTCTACAAAAAGTCATCAACTTCCTGTTGTCTGATATTCTAGTGGATTCCACGTGAATATGAAGTGCAGCCAGTGAGTTTAGATGCGGTTCATAAATGGAAGTCTGTGATGGGTGGCAGGAAGACTTCATTCATTCTTGCGGATTCCTTTTATTTTTCCCATTTTTGGTCCACGTTACGGGCACTCTGCCTGCACCCGCAGCCTCCCTTGTTGCTGCTCCAGGCTGTTGGCCCCGGTCTCTGCAGTCGCTGCCGGGGAGGCCGGAGTGCTCCTGGCAGCCGCTCAGCCGAGGGACGGGCTCTGACAGGGGCAGGAACGGATTTAACGTGAGGTCCCCAAGGGCGCGGAAGGACGCGGAGCGCGGGCAAGGCTTCCCCACCCCGCTGGGGCGGCCCTGCTGGTCCTCGGCGCGGAGAACGCTGTGCAAAACCCCGCTGGAGTCCCCGTTGCAGTAATGCAGGTGGCTCCCGTGGCAGCGGGAAGGAGACCGTGAGACAGGAAAGTCCCGTTGGCGCCGCGGGCCGGGTCAGCGCGCGGCAGGGAACAGCTCACGCGGGGCTGCCGGTGCCCCACGGCCGTGCGACTTGTCGGCTTGCAGGAGCCTCTAGGAGAAGGGAACCCGGGCCCGCCTCCCCATCAAGGGTCCTGACTGAGGTAGTTGTACTTCAAATTCAGCCAGTATTATTTCAAAATGAAATAGCGCCGCTGTCTGTCGTGGCTGCCCGCTGCACAGACCTGTGCTATGAAGGACCCGTGGTGGAGGTTGGCTGCAGCCCTGTTTGCAGGAGGGCAAGGAGAGGAGCTGCAGAAGATGCTGCCGGGGGTGAAGCACAGAGTGCACCGAGGTGCGCCGGGCTCAGCGCCCCGCGGGCCTTGGCCACGCTCAGGAAGCGGCGCTTCAGTGTGGGTGCAGGTTCCCTCCTCTGCGCTTGTTCAGCTCTCCCGTAATCCTCAAACCACATGAATGATGACATTTAAAGTATGTTTCTGTTTGTTTAGCAGAGTTATTAGTATGTTTAAGTTCACTAGTGTTATTTATGAAACACAAACTGCAAGCTGGCTGAGCAGGGTCTCCCGTAATGTGAATTTTTACTTTGTACATGCAAATGGTGGTTCTGCAAGTGCTTCTGTACCATCCGAGTGGCAAAACAGCCCAAGTTAGCCAGTACCAGTGCAAAACGTACCGGGATTTGATAATATCTAGAAAATAAATTCAAATAATGAATAGATTCCAGTAAATTAAAAACTTGGTGATACTCCAAGCTGTGAAAGCTTGGTAGAGTCCTGTGGTTTGCTTTAGGATCGTGATTTGCCTGCTTTGGGCTGTGTAAGGCTCTAGTTTCACAGTGCCCTTTCAAGCCCGGAGTTTCTGGCAAACTTCTCTGCCATGGTTTGAACATGGAGGCATTTCAGAGGCCACAATTTCCATTGCTAAGTCACTCCTCACTGCCCTTTGAAAGAATTTATTCAACATCTTGTTAAAAAATAAAAGGAATTTCCAAGGCATTTCAGATGCCTACCCCGTTTTCAGTTAACTGTGTTAGATAGATAGGAATTAGGGTCCCTTACGAGGCCTTGGTGCCCGACGCCGTCCCGGGAGGAGCTCCGTGTCCCCAGGCAGGAGCAGCCCCGCGCACGGGGCTCTGCGTTCCAGCACGGACCGTGTCGCGGAGCTCGCGCCGCCGCGTGCGGGGCCCTGGTGCAGGAAGGAGCCGCGTGTCCGGGGGCTGCCACGGGGCCCTTAGCCGGGACGCAGCAGTGAGGTAGGAACTGGCAACTGAACGGAGCAGAGATCTCCAGAGCTTTTGAGCAGAGAGGTTTGTGTTTGTGCATGCTGCCCCCATCACCTGCAAGGGCGTTGGGAGTTGTGGCTGCGTGCGGACGTGTGCTTCGTGGTCGCTTGCTTTGATTAACGGCTCCTAGGGGAAAGGGAATTGGAGTAAAGTGGAGTTGGTGCAGGGGAATGTCCCGTTACAGCCCTTAGGCTGGGCCCTCCCCCAGGCGGGGAGTAAAAACAGGGTTAAACCCCAACCTTAAACAGCAGCAAAGCTTTCCCATTTGGGAGTTGTGGCTGCGTGCGGACGTGTGCTTCGTGGTCGCTTGCTTTGATTAACGGCTCCTAGGGGAAAGGGAATTGGAGTAAAGTGGAGTTGGTGCAGGGGAATGTCCCGTTACAGCCCTTAGGCTGGGCCCTCCCCCAGGCGGGGAGTAAAAACAGGGTTAAACCCCAACCTTAAACAGCAGCAAAGCTTTCCCATCACCACCGCTGTCCAGTCACACCCGGTGTTCTCCCACGTGAACTGTTTCCTTTAACCTGCTGACGGGTCATTCAGCA